ATACAAAAAAAAAAATATATATATATATAATAATAATATATATATATATATTATAATAATATATATATATTACTCAGTGTGACAACACATATAGCTAGTTATCTTGCTTGTTATCCATGTATCAAAAAATCTTCCTGATATATTTCTTTAATGTAGTAGCACCACAGTAACACCTGTTGGCCCCAACTTGGCTGGCTACCTCTCCTAATTTGATTCCCTTCACATCCAGTGAACTCATCCTTTGAGGGAACATAGCAGGAACACCTTACGTGGCTATTCAGTCACCCCTTACAATTGTTACCTCTCTCACTCTTTTCCTCTCTCTCTCGCTCTCTCGCTCCCCAGGCGCTGAGCTGAGCTGAGCTGATTAGGTGGGTGTCTTACAGTGACGGAGGTGACTTCCCACTTCCTACTCGCTCGCTTTCCATCTCTCTCTCTCTCTCTCTCTCTCTCTCTCTCTCTCTCTGAGGAAGAAACACTGCAGAGATGCTTGAATCCATCTCTTACTGATTTGCTGAGTGCTGCTGGGTGGGGTTGAGAGAGCTGCTGAGCAGATGGGCAAATTGTGCCCGTGGTTCCTCAGCACCATTCCTGTAGTTACAAATATACAATAGAAAAGTTGACGAGAAATGTACAGTCTGGAATCAGAATTGACTAAATTGTCAGGACTAAATAAAATTCCTTATATTAATGGTAAAGAATAAAGAAATGGAATAAATAATACTGTTTCTGTATACAGTGGAGTCCACAAGTGAAAATGGCATTTTGCATTTTAAAATTTATGATAAAATATTATACATATTTTTATAATTGTATTTAATAAAATAAAAGAAATAGCATTTCTTTATTTAAAAATTTTCCAAAAACAAACTTTATTTTCAAGTTTGAATTAAATTCCAGATTTCTGAACCTTCTGACTGCAGTTGCATGTACAAATTAGATTTATATATATATATATATATATCAAATTTGTACATGCAACTGCAATTCATTTACTGCCAATAATACATCATAATTAATATTCTGTAACCATTTTAGTTTTGATATTAATTTCAGTAAAATAAGATGGTAAAATACGATGGTTAAATGAATAACATAGCCCTCTTCACCTCATCCCCAATTTAAATAGCTTTGGTTACGTTTCACAAGCAACATCTGTTTTGACCACAGCTGTTACAGAAGTAACGGTACATCGGATAATTGTTATTGTAAATATGTGCAGGCTGGAGTGTGGTTGTCAGTCAGTGGTGTACAGACCAATTTCTCTGTAATTAACGCTGGTAAGAGCATATGATTTAAGGTAATTGCCTTGACAAGGGGGCTGAGTGAAGCTACACTTAATTACCTGAACATGCTCTCTCCCAGGAGCCCAGTCAAAACGACCTTTTACCGTTTTCCCTTTTATTTTGCAGTGCTGAATTTGGAGAGATGTGGAGATGGTGAATTTACTCCGCACCCCCCAATCTGCCTGTCAGAGGGATGCTGAAAAATTTCGGTTTGAGGTAACTGGCATTCATATGAGAGTACGCATATCTGCTGCTTTCATGTTTGTCTGTGATAACTCCCCATTTTTAGATAAAAATACATTCAGATTTCACCAAAAACCTTCTATATGGAAAGTGTTTGGTCTATTTAAAGAGACAGAATGTGCCACATGTTGCTAAACCTCTGATTCAGTTAAGATTTCCTCAGCTGCAATCAGATTACCTGGATTGTACATCCATGGCAAACCATCCGAGCCTGTTTTTATAGCAGCAAAAATCAATTCTGCCATTTTCTAAACTGCAGAATGTCGCAGCGAAGTCAGATGACCTCATGGCCATTGTGCTCAAACAGAATCCGATTGTCTCTTTATAGTCATCATCGTCAATTCAATACGCTTGAATAGCTGTGCGTTTCGGAACAGGCACGTCTCTTGTTAATCAATAGGTAGAAATTTAATTTAACACATTTCGGCTGCATTCAGTGAGATTTAAGTACAGCACCATTTCCTGGACACGTCATGCCACCTGCCGCTATCGAAACACTTGGATGGTGAAAAAGATATTCTAGTGCTAAAATCTGAAGGGATGGAGAGGGTGGTGAAGACAGCTGCCGCGAATTGAGTGACGGTTGAGAACGAGTGTTAAAAATGGCAACATGACAATATACGCCACGTGACTGTGTGCTATTGTGTGGGGGAAGTGCGGCGGACTCCTGCTAGCGGGAGTTTCCTGGGGTGGACGGCGAGGAGTGCTAGCGATCAGTGGGAGAGCAATAGATACGTCTAGGTGAACTCGAGCTTTCACCGTCAGTCAGGGCCCCTCGCTGGGCCCACCTCTGATGTCGAATTTCAGTCTGACTTTACTCTGCAACCCCCTTCCTTTCCCCCTTTCTGAAGCACAGATAGGTCGCTGAGCAGTTTATGGCACCACAGCGGTGAGGCGAAATTCTTTTTGTCTCTCCATCATGTTTTTGTGTACACTCGCCGTGCTCTGCGGCACTGGCGTGCACCTGTGCTCAGCGCCGAACAAAGGTCAATAGCAACGGGAGGATCGTGGCAACTGGATACCACACCTGTTTGATCTTTAAGACCTCTCCTTGATAAGTGGCTGTAACCAGGGCAACCAGGACGAAAGGGTTCAATACATTGTTTCAATAGGTAGGACTTAGGTAGGCAGCACAGGTCAGGGTTTATGCTGGAGTACAAATAAAAAGGGTAAGAATAACATTTTGGATGATACTGATAAGCTTATAGTTGTATTTAATTATTATATGTTATAGCCAATAACCGAGAAGTGGTCAATATTAAAATGTATATTTATAAAGTACAAAGATATAAAAATGTTAATATAGACCATTTATTGGTTGTTTCCATAATGTTTTTCATAATTATTGACACACGCATACATACATACACATATACACACATATATATACGTATAACATTTAGATATTCATTTTGAGATTTTTTTAAAGAATAAAGTTTACTCTTTTTATCTTATTAGTGTTTCAAAAAATTATTAAAAATGTTGTTAAATGACAGCAAAGCTAATCTAAATGTAAAAACAGGGAAAATGAGCATCCACAATGTAATATTCAATATCAGCCGATACCAATAAGCAATAAAAAATAAATAAATAAAAATATGTATAATTATTGGTATCAGCCTATCAATATCTATCTATCTATCTATCTATCTATCTATCTATCTATCTATCTATCTATCTATCTATCTATCTATCTATCTATCTATCTATCTATCTATCTATCTATCTATCTATCTATCTATCTATCTATCTATCTATCTATCTATCTATCTATCTATCTATCTATCTATCTATCTATCTATCCACACACACACACACACACACACACTAATATCTTCCAATTTGATAGCAATATATTGAGCTCTATTTTGTACTAAAAATGTTAAGGATTCATTAGCAAATGCATACTCACACACCACCAACAGATGATGTCAATGCTTCTCCTCACAGTTGTTTAGTGAAAACCTGGGGGGAAAAAAACATAGAAATCGACATGGTTACATATTGGATAAATGTACATATCGACTCGCATTCTACGTTCGTTTCAAGTCTCTGTGGTCGATGTTTATCTGTAATTAAAACTAGAACGGAAAAGATATATCAGAGTATCTCTCCCAAGACCTGCTCCGATTTGCACAGCATACATGCACAATCTCCTCCACTGTGGCCAAACCCTGCTGTGCACAATCTTAGTCCTGTTCACGTCCTGCTTTGTAATTCAATTGCATGGCCTAACAGACACTCTCTCATCGAGAGGAAAGCCAAGCTTCTTAGCCTACATACCCTTGGGATCCATGTGCTTAGCTCTCCGTTGAGGCGAATGACACATTGGACCATGAATAAGTGTCCGTTTTGAGACAGGAAAACATTTGCATCTTGAACTAGATGGTCGAAAACTTGAGGATACTTGACTTCACTGAAGGTTTTGCTGGATCACTGGTGATTAAATTGGAAATATATATATATATATATATATATATATATATATATATACAATATATTAAAGAAGTTCTTCCAGTACTAGACAAATAGTGGACAAAAAAGCTGTTTATTGCAACTATTTTTTTTCTGCAGCATACAGTGTATCAATGGATAATACAATGGTTTAAGGCCTTACACTCCTCGTTGGCCTCTCACCGACCCCTCCCATTGCCTCCGGTCCCCCAGCGGACAGCTGCTCCACAGTTCCACGTCCCCCACTGCTAGACTGTCACTGGCATTGGCTGATTCGCACTTCAAACGCAGCCACAAATGGCCATCGCTTGTACGCAGATTCTCTCACGTTTTGATGTCCAACCTACTCTGGAAATTGCATATGTGGAAAAGCAGATTGCCATCTTCAAGGTTAGGGGCCAACATGAAAACGGCTGTTTTAAAAGGCTCTTGGGGTCTTGATGATGCTTCAGTAGATTCCACAATATTACACAGGGCTACCCTGCAGTCTAATATCACTGAAATATCAATACAAACAAGAAGAGCCACAAAGGTCCCTGAAGTTCAAATCCAATTTAGAGCAAGAGTTCAAATGTGCAGCGCTGTGAACTCAAACACTATCTAGGAGGAACCGGTTACCGCTGGGGAGCTAAGTAAGCAGTGGCTCTCTTAGGATTTATATATATATTTACACAGCTGTTATTTGATATTGGATTGGGGAGTGCTGTAACACAAGGCGAGTTGTAACACTGTCAGTTTAACCGATTAGAAATCACTGTCGTACATGACCACCATGCTCCTGATAAAAATATACAGAACAACTTTGGGGTTAAAAGTAAATCCGAATGCCTTGTTTATAATTTGTGATCAAGTAAAAGGACTTTTAAATTACAGAACAGGTTTCACCTGTTCTAGTTCAGTTTGACATATAACATTCACATTTCTCAGTATACTGTTTTTAGAGTTGTTAGCAAGTGCCATTTTATGTGCTGTTTTTAACTAAACAATTAGTTACCATATGGTCACCATTTTTAATTAAATTGAAATTAGGATAATGATGGGAGCGAAATAAATGTATAAATGTAAGTAAATTTGATTATCATTTTAAATCCTTGCACAAAATGTTTCCTGCTAATGCGACAATCAATCCTAGCAGTAACAACACTCTTTGTACAGGACATAAATTACACAGTTGAGAGATAAATTGTCTGTTTCTAAACCACTTGAATTTGTAGCTAACAGATATGCGGATATTATATCAAAGTATGAGATATGTAGTGACGTTACAGACGTTTAAACAAAAAGTTTTGTCTGTCACTTTAAATGGATCCACTGACTAAAATCAAATGTTAAAAGCAAACAACGACGACCTCGTTTAACGTTTAGTCAGTGCCTGTGGTGACAGAGTGAGTTTATCTACATGTGAAAAGTCCACACATTGTATTTTACTCAGACCTACTCCAGGATTTTGGTTACCAAGCTGCATCTAATTGCGCATATACTCTTGTTTGAACACCTGCTCTAAACGATTTTTTTTCTTCTTTGCTAGCGAAGTACAGACCGCGACATGCACCGAACCATTTGGGCTGCCATTTCAGGAAGTGTTTTTCCATGTAAATGTGTCATCACGACGCTCACAGACAACCTGCCACCTCCGCCTGCTCGCGCGCATCCACAGCGACCGCACGTGATCGATGAGTTCTGAGGCCAATAAAACTAAGAGAAATTATTTGGGAAATGTTTGTCATCTACCATTAAGCTTTTTTGTGATTGTTTGTCAGTGTACAGGCTTTCACAACAAAACCCGCCCAATTGCTACTCAAAACTAGGCCAAAACTAGCCCAATACACGTTTTTGTCTGGGTTCCCCTGGTAAAATTTGCACTCCAGGGGCTAAATATCACGTTATCGGGGTCGCTTCAACCCGCGGCAACAGTGTTAAAGTAGCCCAATTCTTGGGGCAACACTGAGGCTGGGTGGGAGTCTTGATCAATTCGGTTAATCAAGCTTTATTGGAGGACTAAAGATTGTTTTATTTTTTTTTTATTTCTGTGTAAGTGCGACCGGGAAGTAGGCCTATAACACGTTTTGTTGACAGGTCTTGTAACTGTTTTTTTTTTTTTTTTTGGCGCTACTTGTATTTGGGAAATGTTTGTCATCTACCATTAAGCTTTTTTGTGATTGTTTGTCAGTGTACAGGCTTTCACAACAAAACCCGCCCAATTGCTACTCAAAACTAGGCCAAAACTAGCCCAATACACGTTTTTGTCTGGGTTCCCCTGGTAAAATTTGCACTCCAGGGGCTAAATATCACGTTATCGGGGTCGCTTCAACCCGCGGCAACAGTGTTAAAGTAGCCCAATTCTTGGGGCAACACTGAGGCTGGGTGGGAGTCTTGATCAATTCGGTTAATCAAGCTTTATTGGAGGACTAAAGATTGTTTTATTTTTTTTTTATTTCTGTGTAAGTGCGACCGGGAAGTAGGCCTATAACACGTTTTGTTGACAGGTCTTGTAACTGTTTTTTTTTTTTTTTTGGCGCTACTTGTCTGAAACTTGATAGAATATTCCAGTAGGCTATTTATATGCTACATTAATCTACTATAGAAATATTCAGATTATTCCTAAATGGTGTAAACACCAAAAGAGTGCTGTTGTTACAACCTTCCTCGCTGTCCCATTGTTACACTAACAGAAAACATTAATGTGTATGAATTTTGTTATTCATTTTAATTCAAAAAGAAAATAAAATTTGAAACAAATATATACAAAATACAGACTAACAACTCGTAGAGTGTGTGTCCATGTAATGCATCTCATTTTGTGGATCCAGTTGAAGTGTTGAAAAGTGCTGAAAGTGTTACAACCCTTCATATCTGCTCAGCCATGACATTTTTCGGCATGTAGATGAAAAGCTTAAGTAAATTCTATATATCAAATCCAATGTTTCTTACCTCTGTTTTTTTCTGTCTTCAAATAAATAAATACATATAAAAATCAAACTGACACTTACAACTGTCACCTCAGAAGGGTGGTGGTCAATGTAAGATTCTCCTCTGTAGCTAACTTCTAATTGGCTAAACTGATGGTGTTACAACTCCCCGGTCTCAGCTACACTCATAATGTATGTCTGTAAATTAGATAGGACCACAAGGTTGACCAACCATAAATACACACAGCATACCTAATTTAATTTCCTGACAGATAACACAGTATATTTATTATATTTGAAATAAAAAGTGGTTAGCAATATTGCACAGAACATCTCTGAGTGAGATTTATCTGTGCATCATCGAAAGACAACAGTGGAATAATTTTTAAGGATTTCACAATATGCACTTTGAACGCGTCAGCATCTAACAGGTGGTACAGAACATCTGTTCAGTGCTTCAGAGGTTTGTCACTAAGCCCCACGCAAGAAATAATTCATTCTGACTAGATTAACCAGCCTACAGCTCAGTCTAATTTATGTTCATATAGAAAAAACTATATTTTTTTCCTATTGTGTGCACAACAACATCTTTTTTTCCACCCATTTAAATAGTCATTTCAGCTCTATTTCTTCATCACCAAATAGGGCAGTCAAATCATCACTGCAAGTTGCAACTGTGATTTCACTTAAAAAAAAAAAAGTAAAAGCAACAATTAAACTTTGGTTTTTAATTTTAGTGCATTGAATAGTGCACTAAACAGTGCCTTGATCTATACACACCAACAATGATATACATTCAGGAACCAAAAGCTATCAGGAGGAATTCTTGTGTGGGTCAAAACTATGATTTGCTCAGGGAGGCTTTAACATTAGTGCATCTACTTCCAAATGAATCATTCATTTGCTAAATTGTCCCGGGGGCTGATCCCGTGCAGTTGGAAATGATTGCCATTGACTCCCTCATTCTGTGCGGTGACACTGGGAGCTGTCCAGCACTGTGGTGCTGAAATCGATTGAAGCGCAGACACATAGCACATATCCGGCGGAAGCTAATTATATGCGCCCTTTTCCTCGCATATTTTATGTGAGTGGGCATTGAGCACGTTGTTTTTGTTGTTTTCAAGAGTTCATCCACCTCCTAGATGTTTTTTTTTATACCTTTTTTACATTCAGGTTGTGGGAAACAAGCATGTTTGCAGAGCATAGAGCTTTTTAACAATTATTTGCCCTCTTAAATGCATATACACAACAAACTCTTAACTCTAACCTAGTTGATACAGATGTTTTTTAGTGTTTTAAGAGATAAAATTGCATGATGAAAGGAATGGAGCACCTAAAAAAATCTTTGTTTTTTTTCAATGAAGCAAAACAGAGATGTTGGGCAGCTCTAGTCAATATTTATTTTCACTGTATGGAGCAAGATTCAGTGAAAATGAATGGTGACTAAGGCTGTCAGTCCCCATCATCTTCTTTTGGAATGACATGGTGGTGAGTAAATGGATGAATTTTAATTTTTGGCCTGAACTATCCCTTCAAGCTAGCCTTTTTTTCTTCTTCGTACTGAACGAGATATGAACGACTCACCACACAAGCCCACCTGGAGATGTGTGAATTCGCATATTCCCCCCCCCCCCTGAAGGAGTTCAGCCTTCACTTCATTGCATTAAATTGCCACCGGAAAATGTTGGAGCGAAACGTTGAGGGAAGGCCACCAGGACCACCTCTATATGATTAGCACCGGCAGAAAGATGAGGATGTAGAGGACTGCTCTGATATTGGATTTGCCAAGGATAACTATAATAAACAGCTCTTCGAATCTAATTGTAATCATTCGCTCAACACACCAGCTGGGGAATTACGGATCATGAAGGAGCTCCTCTCCTATAATCAATAGAAGTTTTGCAAAAGCATATTGACTTGGGGGTGGGGGGGAGTGATTATTTTGATTGAATAGGAGATGGAACAGAATTAACAGTAATGAATAATGTCGCCGTTTCTGACCCTGAGGCTTTCAACCGAGAAAAAAAACAATGTCAAGTCATTTATAAAGGGGTGCATTCATAGGCTGGTTTCACAATAGACGTTCATCATGTTTTACACCGAGATTCGACATGCAAATCCCACCGCAAATTACATCTAAGTGACTTCAAGAAGACACGCTGATGCTCTTGTCACCTGTTGATCAGGATCATCAACACTTGATGCAACTTTCCCTACAACAAACACATTTTATTTTTTGGGTAAAAAATGCGGTACGACACCAAATGCATTCGACATCACAATCTTTGTAGTTTATATTCTAGACACATTTTGTTACAAAATCGAATCATTATTTTCTTTATATTTAAATAAAAATAAAAGACAATATTTTCTTAATTTAATAAACACATCACTCGGATCGCAATAGGGCGTTGGATGTATAAGAAAAATTATTTAAAAATCTTACATGACCTCTATCCTCACCACTTTGACATCGTCTTTGCTAAATCTCTCGGAAACCTCTTTTTCTGTTACAGATAGATATGAAATGAAGGATATCTTACGTGTCTTTGCTGATGCGCTTCGGAGGACGCTTCGCTGGAGATGACAGCCCGTCTTCTTCTCGCCATGTGCTGTAACAAAAGCATCCCATGCATCCGATGCCTATCCCTTTAAAGCCTTGCTGCATCCCTGCAGGTGGCCTGTCAATTTAGCGGATCCGAATGACGTCACTGCATGGCTGGAAAAACTGTGTCAACTTTCATAATAAAAGTCATGCGATTTTATTTGAGTATTTCTTTACATTCAAAATTATCCTGTTGTTAAAAAATAATAATAATACTAATTAAAAATATATAAATTATAAAGTCAATAAACATAAGAGGGATTGCTTGATTTAGCTGGATTATGATTATCTCCCTGCATGTCTAAGCTGGTCTAGATGGTTTTTAGTGGTGTAAAATCTGGTCTCCCAGAGATGGTGCCCAAAAAGTGCCCAAACCCATTCTAAAACAAACTACAGACCAGCCTGACCAGCAATGTTACTATTGTTAATGTAAACTAAAACAAAAAGTAAATGAGAATTTTTTTCAATAACTGGAAAACTTACATAGCTAAAAGTAAAATATATTTTCATTCCTGCTGAAAAAAAGAGCTGAGGATATCTTTATTATTTGTGGTTTACTATGACAACAAAACTTATATATTATTATAAATAAAATAAAAATCACCACAAAGTAATTTTTAGATTCTGTTTTGACTTTATGATGTTTTAAACCTTTACAACTCAAATGTGTGTTTAATGTGCTGTATATCTTTCTCATACTCAATTCATCTTTTAATAAAAGATGCTAATAGGCTGAACCTAAAAAATGGGTACATGTCTGTGTTAAATGCAATGACATTAAACAATCTGTTAAAAATATAAATAATCTATATTATTGCATGAAATAAATAAAAAAAGTGTTACAAATAAATATATATATAAATGTAAAAATAAAATGCAAAACTACATAAAAAAAATGGTGTAGAAACAGTTTTCACTCAGAAATTGCTAGTAAAATTCGCAAGCAATTACAAAGGGCAAGTATTGTGAAGTAGAAAAACTGAAATAGCTAGTATTTTCTTTTAAAACCTGCTCCAAGAATCTGTTTTATTTACAACTGTTTTATTTACGAAAATCTTTTTTTTTTTTTTTACCTTGTATAATAACCTTGCTGACCAGGATGGGAGACCAGTTAAGACCAGCAAACCACCTTAAGCAGCTTTAAGTTTTTTTTTTTTTTTTTTCAGCAGCCTTATTGATTATCCATAATTAATTACTTCTTTATTTCATTTCTTATTTGTTTGTTTGCATGCTGATTAGCTCACCACCATAAATAGATCACACAACATCAGCAGCCAGGAAGACTGTGAAGGTTAAAAACATGCAATTAATGTTTGTAATGTAAAGTGCCCTCCTACACACATCATAATTTAGATGCACACAGCGTGTCACTTGGCATTGTGCTTTTCCTTGGCATCTCTCAATTTGTCTAGTCACAACCAGAATATATATATATAAGGGTATTCAGTTTGTGCATGTTGAATAAAACACAGCAGGCTATATATAGGCTATATTATTTTTATTCTTGCACAGTTACTATCGTATCAATCCTGGACATGCTCGTTTTGAACGTCTCTCTTATCTGACACACTCAGTTCAGGTTTTGGAGCCTGTACTAATGATCAGATGATATAAATCGTGTCTGTTAAATAAGCCACACATTCAAACAACTGTATGTTATATGAATTGCATATGAATTGCATTTCATTATATAACTCATATGCATTTATATGGATGCAAATCAGGTTTTAAGATAAATGTTTGACACTGCAGTCACCTTTATCAAATATAATGACCTCAAATTTGGCAAAGTCTTAAAATTGCACACTGCACAATGAAGCATTCTGTCCTATTGAAGGGCTTTGATTAACTTTGGTCAGGGTGCACCGCAGCCCTGCATGAAGCAAATGGGTAGCAGCTTTTTACATTTTTTTTTTTTTTTTTGGCTTGCACTGTTCGCTTTACAAGTGTCAGGGAAAGCACATTGTTGGCTTTAGCAGAAGAAAAAAAATGCACAAAATAATCACTATTTCGGTAACTAATTACATTTAATATGCAAAGAGGAGTATATTAAACACATAACTGAGACATTTTTCATCATTGTCACATTTTATTGACTGGATTCAACCCAAGTTAATGATCTGCTTCCGATTAGTACACAGTGATTTCATATACTGTCTCTTTTTTGCTTGCTAGAATAAGTAGATACGGCACACACTTAAAAAAAAAAAGCAGCGAGGAACCATTCTCAAGGGTTTTTATTTAACTAGTTGTTTCTGTTAGGCAAATTAGGCAAGTATAATATGCATCACTTACTGTAATGTTTATTTATTCATTAATATTTAAATTAGTTTTGCTGCAGGTTCTGCCTCCTTCAGAGCATATTTTGCTCCCAGCCATATTTACGCACAGTTTGGGCTGATTTTTAAAAGGAACAGCATACAATAACAAAATGGACTTTTTATTTTGATTATTTTTATGGAGGAATAAGCAGGTTTAAATAGAAACATTCTCTGCTTAGCTTTTTTATTCGTTATTTTTATGAGGCTCAACCACATTTACCCTCAAAATGAGGCTAATTTGATTTTTTGACAAATCAATAATTGAGTTTAAATCAGGTTAACCAACTTTCCAGGTGCTGAATACTATCAACTTAGTATTTCCAATCAGAATTTCCAAACTTCATCCTGACTTCTGAGAGAGCTGAATTTACATTTTTTTTTAAAGCTGTTTGTATCAAATTATGTAAAAAATGTTGCATGTTTAATGAAATATTTGTTTATTAGAAGCATGCACTGAATTCATACTGTCTTTTAGGATGTGTCAAATCCAGGATGCTGATTTCCGAGCTCATTAAATGGACACCTAATGACCGTTTGTCCTCAGTAAGTGAGATCGATGTGAGTCCTCAGTGTGTGCTGAGGAAGTGAAGATGTTACACAATTGAAGAAGACACTGATGAGTCTGCAGAGGAGGTGCCCCGTTCTTGCTCCGACTTTATTTAAATTCTAGTCTATACTTGTTTACAAAACCTACACGACTTTATGCTCTGGTAAAGGGGGGCTGGTGTAAGTTGTAATGGCTTTGATTCATTCCACAAGACATTAAAGCAGTAGATCTGTGTCCATTACCTGATTATGACTTTACATTTTCTTGGCTAATGTCCAAAGGGAAGCAACAGGCCTGTGCATTTGCCCTCTGAAAATCTAAGTAATGTTTAGTTTGTCATTTTTCCCCTGCTGAATTGAACCTCTTTTCCCTGGTAAATTTACCACGTTCTTGTTTCAGCCCAGAGCCTTTGTGTGCTTCATAAGATGGACCAATTTTAAATGCCAGAATCTCCTTCACAATAATAAATGGGATTAAAGTGCTGTCTATGCTCAACAAAGAAATTGGGAAATTATGTTTTTACCTTAGCATGAATTTTATCCACTTAGGAGACGACAGCTGCAAGGAAGCACAGACAGCCATTTTACATTTCCATAATTTGGTTGAAAAAAGCCACAAGAGGTGTATTTTCAGGCACAAATGTGCTATTTGTCCCCCCCATTGTGTTCCCAGCACTATTCTGGTGTACTCCGGGACTGAAATGTTTGGTTCATCATGTTGTTTTGTCGTGCTTTGTGCTTTTCTGTGCCATTCTACTGTACATTATCATGCATTTGCATGATTGTTTTTGTATTTCAACACTGTTTATTCAACCTTTTTACCACAAGGCTGCTTGTATGACAGAGGTCATCGTGTGGGTACTGTCATTTTGTTTATTTGATTTAGCAAGGAGGAATTTTAAAGCAGTATAGCATGAATCCCTGGTGCTTTTTTGTACACGCTGATCACAGATTTGAAATGCACGGTGGATGAGAAGGTTTGTAAACAATACTGTTGCTGCGTCATTCGATCTTAAGCGTGAATATGAGATTTATAGCACTTAACAAAGAGCATGTCTGAAGGGCACAAGTGTTTGGAGATTTGTATCCTCCATAATCACTATTAATTTGTATTTTTGCTGTCACACCACACAAATAACATGTGGGTAATTAGGACCAAATTAAGAGGGTATTTATCATGGAGATTGCAATCAATGAATTAAAACCAATAATCTCAATATGTGCAAATTGGCATTTGGTCTACAATGTAATTGTCAAACTGCATGCATGGAAAACCAGAGACAATCTGAGATCCAATTTGTAGCAGGGATGAAAGTGCCCTCTTAAAAATTAAAAAAGTGTCAGACCACACAGCTGCCTCACATGCTCAATAATGTAGCCAAAATTATTATATATTTATAATAAATAAATAGAATGAAATATATGTCTATAACAGAAGACAAAAACACAATTTTAAAGAGAGAATCAATGTAAAAATGAGGTCTTGGTGTTATTGATGTCTAATATCTTCCTAATATATTTATATATAAATATATATTATTATATCGGTACATTATATGTATTCTTTATAACATTTTATATGAATTATATTAGTCTAATTATAAAATGTATGTATAACAAAATATAAAATAATATTGTTATAAAATGTTATATAATATAATTATTCTATTTTTAATATAATACATAGGAAATATACTGTATATTATAAATGCAATATATATTATTCTATTTTTTAAACTTCTTCTTTTTTTTTTAATTTGAGTCTTTATGGTTTTACTTTGTCGTTTGATGTGCTGGTAAGGGTTTGTTTGGCATCCCAAAACAAAGTTATTGAGATAAAATGAATGTATTTAGAGACTTTATATATATATATATATATATATGTATATATATATACAGTACACATAATTCTTAATTTATATGCACCAACTGTGGAGGAAATCTCCCGATTTTAAGGGGCAGCTTGGGCTAGGGGTGTTTACATTATTCATTACAGAGACCTATGGTTGCCGGTGGCCCTAATCTACCCCGCGGCCCAACGATGCAGTGATAAGCATCAGGTTACCTGCCAGGCCGAGGCAGAGGCGGTTCAAAAGTCACATTGACAGATGTCCGTATCGGTGTTATGCAAACCTGTACAGAACAATTCCTTGTTTAGCTAAGTGGCCCATAAGTAATTCATTGTATTTAGCGAGAAGCAGCATCTGTTCAGCAGCCC